AAAAAAAAAAAAAAAAGGGTTTCCATCAAAGATTTCATTTGAAGAACCATGATACTTGACTCGATGACTTGAAACTTTTGATTGAGTGAGATTCTCTTCCATTTTCTATTTTAAATGTTATGACATCTTAATTTTTATATTTTTCTTTTCTTCAACCATTCCACCTATTTTACACGAACAATTTATGGTTTTGAGAGCTCTCAAGTCATGAAAATAAAAAGGGGGAAATACTTTACTCTTTAGTCTGTGCAGGAAATTTTTGTTCATGGTTTCCACGATATGTGATTGACAGACCCATCTGGTTTCGATGTGCCATGATTAGCTATCTGATCAAGATCTTTCGCTATTACAGTTTCAGCAGTAACACTTCTTCCATGTCTTTGTCCGTTCAGCACTTGTATATGCGGTCTTGACACGGTTGCAAGCTATTGTTCCAATTTCAAATTACTGGTATCAAGCTGGAATGATTTGATGGTGGATGAAATTTCTTTTTATTGTGAAGATTGAGCTTTGATTAGAATTTCAGTCTTGGTTTCGGATTGAAAACTTTGCATTCATGGAGGAAGATTGAAGAGGACGTGAGGTCTTCAATCCTTTTTATAATTGGCTAAATTTTCTTCCAAGATAGCAAGTAATGAGAAATTGCCTATTGAGGTACCAAAGAGACTAAAATATTGGTCTTTGCACACTTTCTTAGTGGGATCCATAATCCAGTCCTCGATGTCACATTAATAACTGAAGAGAAGCAATGACTTGTTTATAACATGATGGATGATTTTTACACCGTATTATTAATGCTGCCTTGAATTTTAGTTAAAGCCTGAAAACATGTGCTTGATAGTTACTTGAAGCTATTTACTTATTCTTAGTGACTTTGCTCCTGAATGTATTGTAGGTTAACTAACATAAATATTTCAAATGAATCAATATATTTTGATAAATCTGGGACAACATTTCATTCTTTGTTAAGATCAAAAAAATAAAGAAAAATCAGGTGGCTGCTAAGATCTGAAAGAGAAGCGAGTTGAGCAGGGAGGCTTCTGCTGTGCTGTTGACTGCTAAGATCAAGGCACACAACATGGGGGAAGAAAGAAAAATTGAGGTTTCCAAATTTGTTGCCTACCTTGATATAATCAGGTGCCTGAATCATCGCAACCCTCCCATCAGCGTTGTGTTTTACACCAGACCAAGAACAATGATTTTCTGTGTTGTTGGTGTAGCCACTCCACCATCCGCTCTCAAGCAAAGCCCTTGCTTCTGATTCTGAAGACGTTAACATGTTTGTTTCTGCAATGTGGTGAATAAGCAAGGTAGACGATGATTCTACCAAAGTCAAAGTGGCCCAAATTGAGGAGATCATGTTATGCTTATTTTGTTTATGCAGCTGTTACAAATTCAAGCTTAATTTCTGGAATTTTAAAGCTTGTTAAAACGTTAACACTATAGTGAAAGTCTGGAAGATCTACTTGGTCATTGTTTTTATTTTTATTATATTTTTGATGGATCTACTTGGGCCATTCATTTCGTGCAATGACCATTTCTTAGTTAAGAGTATGTGATCGATCGGTGTCTACTTTTTCATGAAAAGCATTGGTAACAAGTCAACGAGTAACGACAAAATACTTTCTTCAAAGTGAAAGTAAACTAGATCAAGTTGGCTTGTTGAGGATTGGAAATTATAATAATTATACTCCACAACATATTTTCATGTTTGCAACTGCATAGAATCATGATTTTTCATCATGATGAATTTCTAATTCCCTTTTGAATTAGGAGGAAACATGTGCTCTTTAAAGAATATTTTCTTTTATAAAATGATGTACAATTAGCATTACACTTGATTGTATAAAATTTAATGTGCTGTAATGTGATGCATTTTATATGTTTTTATATCTTTTAGTCTTAAATTTGTTACTATTTGGATGGATAGGATGTTATTTTCAATGGATATACGTGATTTTTATTCTATGTGCATAAAAAGACTTAAATATATAATAATAGAAGGTTTTGAACTTAATTGAATATCTTTTGAAAGTTGAATGACTGTATTCTGAGAAGAAAGTTTGCTTTCAGGGACCAAAATGAATGTCTTCAACGTTATAGGATTAACGTGCTCATTGTATAGAACATAGACGACCAGATCTGCTAATTTACCATTCAAGAAATTACACAAGGGGGCAAAAACCTGACACGGGTTTAGTGTTGTAAGGACAGATCCGAGGTGCCAAGCCTTGGACTGCTACAGTAATTCCTTTATGACCGAAGTGAGAAATAAATCCAGAGCTTCCCGCTCAAATAGCTGCATGACAATGACAATAAGCATGCCTGCACCTGATTGCTTATGATGAGTGGCACAGCAAGTATGGTGGACGCTTGTGCATCTGAATACCTCTCAAATTCCCGGTCTCGGAATAATCGTCTGGATGGACACGTCAGGCTCCGATTATCTTGCTTGGCATGACACGTGAGTTCCTCATTGGATCCTATAAATATCCCCCCGGGCCACGTCAAAAAGGTAATTGAAACCAACCCTAAGCTCTTTTTATCTCCGCCCTAAAGGTAGCCCCGATTATTACTGACTTAAGCATCGGAGTGTCTACCCCGAGTTCCATCTTGGGGCTTTGCAGGTCTTTCCGGAGTACAAGCACGGACTGAAGAAGGACTTCTGGTTTGGTGCAATTACATTGGCGCCGTCTGTGGGAATCGAACTGAAAGCTTTCTAGTTGCTCTTTCATCATGGTTCACACTCGATCAATTCGAGCTTGCAATTTATCTCTGCCTCTTGGGCAAGGTCAACCCCCCAACAACCTTCCACCCCTGATCCCACCTCAAATCCCACCTCAGCTTCCACCTCAAGTCCCAACTATATTCCCTTCTGTTGATCATGCAGAAGGAGGAGATGAAAACCAACCCCATACCTCAGCTCACAATTCAACTTCCACTGCCAACCAAGACATAGTGACAGCTCAGCTTGCTGCCATGCAGCAGCAGTTTGGTGTTTTTCAGTTGATACTGGCTCAGCTTTTAGCTAGAAATAATCCTGGTGATCCCCTCATTAATTTACTAAACCATACTCAACAACCCCCAGCTCCACAACAGAATCCCCAACCGGTTCAACCTGCCCCCGCTATTAGCGAATCTCAGGGTCAATCCCACATAGCACCCGCTCAACAACCCATCCCTGATGATGTTACTCACCGCCTCAATAGCTTGGAAAAGCTAGTAGCTGAACACCGAGGTGCTCCACCCCCACGCCATGCTACTGATTCTATACCTCACCCTTTGAATACCAACATTACTCTAGAACCCTATCCTGCTGGCTTCAAAATACCACAATTGGAGACTTACGACAGGATGAAGGATCCCGATGATCACCTGCATGCTTTCTACTCTTGCATGCAAGCTCAAAACGCCTCTAACGCATTGATGTGCAAAATCTTCCCCTCTACTCTCCGAGGTAATGCCCGAACTTGGTATTACAGTTTACCTCCGAGGTCAATTAGCTCTTATATAAAAATGGCATTTGCCTTTGCCACTGAGTTTTCCAGTAGAAGGTTGATTAGGAAAACTACTTCTGAGCTTATGAGGGTTAAACAGAGGGACGAAGAGTCTCTGAAGAACTACATGAGTAGGTTCAATGATGCGGTGTTGGAGGTTAGTTCATTCGACCAAGCTGTGGGTATTGCAGCTGTAATCTCTGGTCTCAAACATGACAGGTTCCGAGACAGTTTGATCAAACATGCTGCCACCACCTATAGTGAGGTGAACGATAGGTCTCTGAAATTTATAACTGCTGAGGAATACGCCCTGGCGCAAAACCAACCTCCTTCTAAGAACCAAAACCCAGAATGGAGAGATGACAATCCGAGCCGGAAAAGGATGAGAATGGCGCAGAACCGAGGTCCGATGTTGACCTCCCTAATGAGATTCGTAAGGACGAACTCAACACCCCCGCAACAATCTGCAGGTAAACCTCCAGTTCATTGGACTCCCTTTAATCTACTGAGGTCACAAATTTTTATGCAGATCAAGAATAAAATGGATTTAAGGCGTCTTGGCCCAATGAAAACTGCTGCTGCTAGTCGAGACCACACCAGATATTGTGATTTTCATCAAGATCACGGCCATACTACAGAGCAGTGCAACAGCTTAAAGTCTGAACTAGAAAGTTTAGCTCAGAAGGGAATGCTAAATGAGTATGTTCAGAGAGCTGAACAGCCGAGGTTTATCAGAGAACAGAGGCCGCAGCCTCAAGGAATCCGCAATCCCCCAAATAGGCAAGGTGTGGGATATCAGCAAGTCCCACCTTCGCTCCCACTACCAACTAGAATCATACATATGATTATGAGAGGCTTTGAAGCAGGTGGACTGAGCTCTAAGCAGCGAAAGCTGTATGTCAGAGAGGTTAAACACAAAAACCGAGCTCAGAAGTGGAAGATTGACGATGCTGAGTGGAAAAATCAGCCCATTACTTTCACGTCTGCTAATCTCGATACAGTTGTTACACCCCACAATCATCCCTTGGTCACTTCTGTAATGATTAATAACTGTGAAGTACAGCGTGTCCTTGTTGACACCGGGAGTGCACCAGACATCATGTACTTCCATTGTTTCGAGAGTTTGGGACTGGATCCAACATTGTTGCAGAAATATGATGGTCCTATCTATGGTTTCAACAACTAGCCTGTTCCGGTAGAAGGGGTTCTTACCCTCCATGTGGCTTTTGGGAGTGGCAGAATCTATGTGACTCCTTTAGTCTGGTTCCTCGTAGTCAAAATGGCGTCCTCTTTCAACATTGTTATTGGCCGATCCACACTAATTGAAATCCGAGTTGTGGTTTCCTAGTCTCACCTCTGTATGAAGTTCCCAACTCCTATGGGAATAGCAACACTGCGAGGAAACCAGGAGGTGGCCAGGCATTGTTATCTCACCTTGGTAACACAACCTACGAAGGGCAAAGATCAGATACCCGAGGCCATTCCCCAACGAATTTCTGATAATCAGCAAGTTATGGGCGTTGAGATCATAGATAATCGACCGGAAGATGAAACCAGAGTTGCTCCGGTCGAAGATGTCGAAGAAGTGCTCATTGATGATAGAGATCCGAGCCGAAAGATGCAAATTGGAACTCGATTGAACCCAGAGGAACGAGCAGAGTTAATAGCTTTTCTCTGAGCTAATAATTATGTATTCGCATGGACTTCGGCAGATATGCCGGGAATTCCAAATTCGGTGTCTCAACATAAGCTCAGCACCAACCCATTAAAGAAATCAGTGGCCCAGAAGCGGCGTCTTTTCAGGGGTGAGAGACTTTAGGCTATTAAAGAAGAGGTAGAGAAGCTCCTACAGGCTGGTTTTGTCAAGAAAGTTGATTACTGTGAATGGGTGGCTAACCCAGTCCTGGTAAAGAAGGCAAATGGCAAATGGCGAATGTGCATTGATTACACAAATCTTAACCACGCCTGCCCTAAGGATTGCTATCCAATTTCGAGCATTGACAAATTAGTTGAAGCAGCTTTAGGCAATGAGAGGTTAAGCCTCTTGGATGCATATTCTGGGTATCACCAGGTGCCAATGGCTCCCGAAGATGAAGAGAAAACCTCGTTCTATGCTGGCGATGAAATTTATTGTTATGTCATGATGCCGTTCGGCTTAAAGAATGCAGGTGCTACTTATTAGAAAATGGTGACCATCGTCTTCCGAGCTCAGATCAGCAAGAATCTGGAGGTGTATGTGGATGACATTGTGGTAAAGAGTCTGAAGGCAGAAAACCATCTAGCCGACCTCGACGAAACCTTTAACAACCTCAGAAAGAACCGGATGCGGTTAAACCCAGCCAAATGCATCTTCGGAGTGGAATCTGGAAAGTTTCTAGGTTTCATGGTGTCCCGGAGAGGAATTGAGGTCAATCCAAAGAAGATCAGAGCAATTGACGAGATGGAACCGCCGAAGTCAGTGAAAGATATACAGAGGCTGACTGGAAGGGTGGCAGCTCTGCATCGATTCATATCGAAGTCAGCATATAAATGTCTGCCATTTTTCAAGATTATGAGGTCGGCCGCCCAGAAAAGACGAATCAGGAAAGCAAAAGAAGTTTAAATGGAGTCAGGAATTCCAAGCTGCATTTGAAGAGCTGAAGTCTTATCTTAGCTCACCACCTCTGTTGACTAAGGCTGTAGATGGAAAGATTCTTTACTTGTACCTGGGGATTTCAGATGAGGCCATTAGTTCAGTTCTGGTGAGAGAGGAAGCCAGGCAGCAGAAACCAATCTATTATATCAGCAGTGTATTACACGGAGCAGAGCTGAGATATACTATAGCTGAGAAAGCAGCACTAGTAGTTGTCACTTCGGCCAGGAAGTTGAGGCCATATTTTCAATCACACCCAATTATCGTTCTCACAGATCAACCTCTCCTGCAGATTCTGCAGAAACCAAAGTGCTCTGAAAGATTAATTAAGTGGTGTCATAACTCAAATTTTAATAGAATTTTATTTTTATTTTAACTAATATATTTTGTCTTTGTTTTACTTGTTAGGTTCATTCAAAACATGGGGGCAAAAAGGAAATTTTACGAAGAAGATTGGAAAAGAAGA